CAAGCTGCTTAACGGCCGTGATCCCAGAGACTCAGAAACAAATCTCGAAACCCAGTGGCTTTTGGCAGAAATGTGTCCAATTCCCGCAGTAAGTTATTGTTGCTGGGCCAGTCCAGGGGGGAAAGGGTGTGGTCACTCCACCTGTTCCCCCTTGGCATCATGGTGGCGATCATCCTTAAGAGGCCATTGGACAGTCAGGCTTGGGCCCGCAGTGAGGAGACATTTTGGGCCTCACGGGATGGGGGTGGAGCTGGTCCTGTCCACCTCACCCCAACAAGACCCCAAGTCATTGCCCATGAACGGCCTCTCTGGCTCCTGATCAAGCTGCTTAATAGCCATGATCCCAGAGACTGAGGAGCAAATATCAGAACACAGTGGCTTTTGGCAGAAATTCATCCGGACCATGCAGTAGGTTACTGTCACCGGGCCACCCCAGGAGGGAAAGGGTGTTGTCCCTCCGCCTGCTTCTGCCTGGTGGCTCGGCGGCCATGATCCTCCAGAGATCATTGGACAGTCAGGTTTGGGCCCGCAGTGATGAGACATTTTGGGCCTCACGGGATGGGAGTGGAGTCGGTCCTGTCCTCCCCACCCCAACGAGACCCCAAGTCATTGCCCATGAATGGCCTTTCTGGCTCCTGATCAAGCTCCTTAATAGTCATGATCCCAGAGACTCAGGAGCAAATCTCGGAACCCAGCAGGTTTTGGCAGAAATCCCTCCAGATTTAAGTGTTAAAATTTCAGAATTTCAAAATCACATGGCCACTACTGCAGCCACGCAACACCATATGTTATTCATAACCAGCAATAGAAAACAAATTGTCTACTGTTGCCTTTTCAGCAGATCTGAGTGTTGGGGTAAAATCTCAAATAATAATGGTGGGTATGGTGTCAAAATATTGAATGTGATCAAAGTAGAGAGAGAGTAATGTGGAAATCATCTGCCCCACAGGTAGGGGGAGGGTTTGGGATGGGGATATACTGGTGTTGTTAGGGGTGTAGAATGGGCACTGGTGAAGGTACAGGTGTTTTATTGTATGGCCAAGACTTAGACCCGAAAGCTTTGTAACTGCTCTCATGGTGATTCAATAAATAAAATTATAAAAAATGAAAAAAAAACAGTAAGGTGGAGTTCATGCACAATTCAATCAGCGAATCAGTGGCTAAATAAATAGCAGTACTCCTACATAAAAAGTGACTAATATGTCATTCTTTACCAATCACATGAAGTATTTTTTATTTTTGTGAATTATATGTGCCTTAGCACAGCGGGTAGGGCCTTTGCCTTGCATGCAGCCAACATGGCCGACCTGAGTTCGATTCCTCCGCCCCTCTCGGAGAGCCCGGCAAGCTACCGAGAGTATTCGATATGCCAGACACAGTAACAACAAAGTCTCCAATGGAGATGTTACTGGGCCCGCTCGAGCAAATTGATGATCAACGGGAGGGCCTTTACTTTACTTTACTTTACTTTGCTTTACTTTACTTTACTTTACTTTATATGTGCCTTAAATTGTATAAGCATTTGCCAGTAGACGGGACCTTTGGTAAGTGATAATAATCTAAAATATGACTTTTACCGATAGCACAGCAGGTAGGGTGTTTGGTTTGCATGCGACTAAACCAGGTTCGATTCGTCCATCCCTCTCGGAGATCCTGGCAAGCTCCCGAGAGTATCCTGCCTGCATGACAGAGCCTGGTAAGCAACCAGTGGTGTATCCGATATGCCAAAAACAGTAACAAGTTTCACAATGAAGATGTTACTGGTGCCCGCTCAAGCAAATCGATGAACAACGGGGAGGACAGTGCTATTATAGAAAACTTTGTTTTTCAGAGGTTTAAGTGTAGGACTACCTGAAGAAAGAAACCAATGGAGAATTCCACTTAGCTGCTCCTTCTAACACCTGACTTCTTTCATCCAATTTGTACAAGGCTCAGGAACACAAATCTTCTTAAGAAAAGGAAGTTGTTTTTGACAAAAGAAACTTCATAATTTACACAGCCAGCCAGCTGGGTCACAGTAGGCTTGTTTTTCTCACCATTTGTTACCAGATGATAAAAAGGTAACTTTTTAAAGTAATTTCCTCAAAACAATGGCCTATGCTAAAAAAGAATAATGTAACTTTCCAGTTCTCTTTCTAAAAAGCATATACTTTTCCTTTAGTCACAATGGCAAACTTGTCAGAATAGATCCATCATCTTTTGCCTGGAAAGTCTGTGACCTTTTCTATTTGTCACGAGTGAGTCCTGAGCACAGACACAGAATGCCCTCAGCACCACTGGGTGAGACCCATCCCCTCTCTCCCTTAAGTTCTTCAGGAAAAAATCAAGATGAGACTCTAAATAAGCATGGCATCCTCAGAAATTGATGCTACATCCCCCACCCATGTGAATTGTCTAAGGATTGGGGCTCTAGGACAAATGTGAATGGTATAAGATAAGGGTTTGGGGCCTCACAAAAAGGAACTGCAACTGAGATCAGTCTATGCTTTCTCATATATATCTTTGGAATGCTCAACTTTCCAGAACAGTATACTAGAAAAAAATTTCCCTCTGGAATTAAGGGACAGGAAATAATCTTATGTGTCCTCAACTGGGGTCTGTATGAAATATTAGAAAAATCATTCCTGAGGATTCTTAAGCATAGGCCTATATGATATATGCCTTTAGAATTCACTTTTGTGTGTTCCAGCTATAACAATATGAGACATGTGTGTAAAACTAGCTGGAAGGTCAGGCAGGAATAAATTCAAGTAAGATTGCACCTCAAAGTATAAAAATCATATGGGAATATAGGCATTACAGGGGAAGGAAGGTATTGATAGGACACTAAGACAATAATGGAGGAAGGTAGACGCTCTGGTGAAGGGTGCAGTGATGGGATGCATGAAACCCTATGTTTCATATTCATAAGTAATCAACTTTCATTTTATAATTTACAATCATTAAAGTGTTTTTGCTTTCTACTTATAGTTTTACAGGAAATGTGATTGTTGGGGGGTGGAGTCAGGAGTTGGGGAAGTAAGGAAGAAGAACCAAAGAGGAAACCCCAGGAATATTTTGCATGTTAAAATCATTCTTCTGGAATCATGAAACCTGATTGTTAATGGTATTGTAAAGAACAGCACCTAAAATAAAATTTTAAATTAAACATAAAAATCACAGAGAGCAGACCCAAGGTTCTGATTTATAGTGCTATTCTATTAGTCAGTACTGTTATTGCCTAGCTCTAGCTCAAAACTAGACTATAAGTCATAAGAGGAAAATACATATCTTTGTCATTTAAAGGTATTATTTGGAGATATTATATTATTTCTCTAGAAAGGATCGTGACTGTTCACAAAGCCTTTCTCAAAAAATGCTTAGTGGAAACAATTGTCAATATGGTGGTCTCTACCTAGAAAATGTTTTAGTCAAGACAGAGCAAAAGTAATCTAGTTTCCTACAAAGAGAAGGAATTTACGACAAATAGATACTTAGTGAAAAACAAAATAAAAAGACATACTTCAGAAAGTTTAAAATTGAATGGCAAAAGGAAAGCATGAATTATGAGGAGTTGTGAGGAAAGTAAGTGTTGAATATATAGGAAAGCTAAATGAGCATAGTTTACGGAAAATGCAATAACTTGGAAATTTGGTGATTTAAGAAATAACTGAACCCAAATAGTGGCTAGATATTGCATGTGAGTCAAGAGAAAATGGTAGAAATTAAAACATTCTAAACTCCATCATTGTTTAGGAAATGGGAATAAATCACAATTAACTTTAAATTTCAAGTCAAATACCGATATTACAAGTTAAAGTTATTTATCAGAGTAATGGAATAAAAATGAATAGTTACTAGAAGTAAAAGTAAAGACCCTCCTGTTGATCATCGATTTGCTCGAGTGGGCCCAGTAACGTCTCCATTGGAGACTTTGTTGTTACTGTGTCTGGCATATCGAATACTCTCGGTAGTTTGCCAGGCTAGAAGAGGGAGAAAAAATCAAATCAATAGCAGTCAAAGATAAAATTTAAAGAGTAATGTTTATGAGAGAATGAAAGGAAGAGTGATATATACAGTAAGACTATCTGAGTTCAAAACTCTCCTCCTAGGATTGCTACTCACTAGCTATGTTAATCTTCAAAATCATACTAGATTCTACATTTTATGGATTTTATAAAAATTAATGAAAGGACCCACAGAAAGTATTAAAGACTGACACACAGAAAGTTTTCAAACTATATCCGTTATTATTATTATTATTTGCAATTCAATCATATAAACATAGATAAAAATATTATCATGAACAGGAATTAGACTGCTTCTTGGAAAGCATAATAAGTCCTTTTTTCAAATGCTGACTAAAAAGCATAGCAAAAGTATATCTGCTTATCCACATATATATTTGGTTTAATTTGGTGAGTAAATGTTAAACAACTTTTATTTAGCATGTCACAAATATTTCATAGCAGGAAAATAAAGGACAATATAAAAAGGAAATAGCAAAAGTATATAACAAACATCAGGATGTGCATGAAATTAAATGGGTTGGAAACAAATAAATGTTTAATTTCTTCAAGTAAGCTTTCTGGTTCTCTTTCAGTGATGCACTATTAATTGAAAATATATAACTACTGAAGAATCTAAGTCCAAAGATTTTAAACAGCCATCAATGTCAGCAGTAGAACACTTTCACTTTTCACGATTTTGGCTTCTCTTTGAAATTCTGTTTTAAAAAAAGGGTTCAGCAAATCAAGTTTGAGAAGCACTCTTAGTCATATTTCTTCCAGTCTCTGTGATGTTAAATTTTATTCCTCTACTGACTTTCTGGCTTTTCACACAAATTATATCTCTTTGTCAGATGACTTGATATCAATACTGATGTTTTATGTTTTTTTTTTCTTAATTATTACTATTTCTTGATGGAGTTGGGCCACATGTGTGTTGCTCAGGGTTTCCTCCTGGCTTTGTGCTCAGAGATCATTCCTGGCAGGCTCAGGAGGGCATATAGACTGACAGCGATGGAACCAGTTCAACTGGGTACAAGGTAAATGCCATGCCTATTGTATTATCTGGGCTGGAGTGATAGCACAGTGGGTAGGGCGTTTGCCTTGCACGCAGCCAACATGGCCGACCTGAGTTTGATTCCTCCACCCCTCTCGGAGAGCCCAGCAAGCTACTGAGAGTATCTCACCAGCACAGCAAAGCCTGGCAAGCTACCCGTGACATATTCAATATGCCAAACACAGTAGCAAGTCTCACAAGGTTACTGGGCCCGCTCAAGGGAATCAATGAACAACGGGAGAACAGTGACAGTGACAGTGACTGTATTATCTGACAGTGACTGTATTATTATTTGTAATATCATTTACTTATCATGCATCAAGGTGCAGCACAGATGCACAATAGGAATAAAGGAGTTTAAAATTGTTTAATTTCTAGAGTTTTTCTTTTAATCAAAATCTAAAGCACAATGTGGAATATTGCTTCCTATATTCAAGAAGTTGCTCATACATGAATATTACTTTTCTATTCATCATGGAATCATCTGAAATAATTTGAAACTGCATGAACCAGCAAAATTCTCCTATGAATGACTAGAAAGCACTTATTTGGGGATTTGTAGTCATATATTCTCTAAGTATTCAGCTTCATTGATACAGTCCTAGATCAACAACAAATAATACGCCAATGAATGAATGTGACTAAGTTCCAATGAAGGTCATTTACCAAAAGTTTGTCCACCATATTTGGTCTTTGGGCCACAGTCTATTGAACCCTGTTATACTTGCTTGGTTGTCATTACACAAAGAATTCATTTTGTAAAATGGTGATCATTATTTAGTTCTCATAAACTACAGAGTACTTTTGTTCCAATGACTGAAAGTGCCATTAAAATCTTTCTTTTGAAGACTGAAAGAAATTTTGTCTTGTTTTCATTATTACAGGCACTTCAGTTTAAGATTCAGGGGATGAATTTATATTTCCAATATATTTCAGGTCATAAAAAAGTAAAAGAAGGTATTTTATCTGTCAGTGTAAATATATTGTATTCAACTCAAGCACTTCCAGGAAGATTATTACAAATTTTACATTTAAATTCATAGATAGCACCTAATCTGCTTACAATTTTATTGACAGCCGAATTCTTATTTTATCTTCCTAAAAGAAGCCCTTGAAATTCAAAAATCTATGTGTTTTTATTACTTTATTTTAGTTTAATTCCTAAACTTTGAGTGAAAAAGTACACTTTTAATTAGCTGCCACTTTTAATTACCTAAACAATTTATTTCCATTAAAAAGTATGGATGTTAGTCAGGTCACTGAATAATGGCACTGTACACTATCAATTGTGCTTCATCTAGGGTGTGACATTCTCATTGGGGATATTGTAGGCACTGAGGATACTAAAAATATATATCTATTCAAACAATTGTTCAGAAATAGGCTGTAGGTACCCTTTTCTAATGACAAGTATTTTACATTAATTGTTGACTGATTTTAATAAACTACCTTGATGAAGGGTTACTGTTCCTTCTACATAAAACTCATTTGGTAATTTTGACTTATCTCATGTTTTAGAGTGCCACCATTAGTATGTTTTGCTCCCAATCAATCCCCAATTCATATGTTAAAACCTAATCTCTAATGTGAATAGGAAGGTGGAGTCTTTGGGAGGTGTTTAGGTATTGAGAGCTGAGTCTTCATTAAAGAAAGAGCTCCCAACAAGAATACAAACTGAAAGGTCAGAGAAGGAAAGAAATCAACGGGGGAAGGGAGAAGAGAAAGTGAAGTAATTGGGGGACAGGGGTCACAGGGTTGGTTATACCAATGATGTAGAATTGTAGCACTGTAGCACTGTAGCACTGTCCTCCCATTGTTCATCTATTTGCTCTAGCGGGCACCAGTAATGTCTCCATTGTGAGACTTGCTACTGGTTTTGGCATATTGAATACAACATGGGAGCTTGCCAGGCTCTGCCCTGTGGGCGGGATACTCTTGGTAGCTTGCTGGGCTCTCTGAGAGGGACAGAGGACTGGAACATGGGTCAGCTGCATACAAGGCAGATGCAATACCAGCTGTGCTATCGCTCCAATCCAGGAAATACTATATGCCAAGAAATCATCTATCAAAAACTTTGTAAATCATGGCTCTTTAACTAAGCAAAAATAAATAAAAAAAAATAACTGAAAAAAAAGGTCCCAGAGAGCCCCCTAGAATCATCCATCTGACAAAAATCCACTAAAACATTCATCTGGGAATCTTCTGTCTACAGAGAATAATAGAATAACATTCTGTTATTTCTAGTCATCCCAGATTATGGTATTCTTTCTCTCTCTCCCTCTCAATTTATATTTTATTTAGTCACCATGAAATTACAAATTTATTCATGGTTGGGTTTTAGGCATAAAACAACATTGCCTTCACCAATGTCCATTTTCCTTTACCAATGCCCCCTGAACTCATTTACCCGATAACCACCAGTCTGCCTTAGTGAAAGTTACTTTTTAAATAAGTTTCTGCAGTGTGTTTTACAGTACTTTTACTGATAGGATTTTATGCATAACACTTCACCACCTTTCAGCACTACTTACTCCTTTCTGTTGAATGCTTTTCTCCATCATAGTTGTTCCTTCCCTCCTTGTATCATTTTTTCTTCTTCCCCAAGTGGCATGTTTCCTACTGAAAACCAGTTCTCAAGATCTTTGTTTCCATTTTCTTTGGTCACTTATTGGCTTGCAAAGATCAAGAGTGGTATTACCCAATTCAATAAATTAAGAAACCAAAGCTTCCGAAGGTCATTCTGATAGTAAGTGGCAAACCTGAAATTTGAAGCTGGCTTTTTTGATCTCCAATAACCTCCCACTCTTCCAGTGTGTTCAGATTCTTGTCCTCAGACAGTTGAAATTAGAAGGAGAAGACTGGACCTGGTTGAATTTAGTAGCAATTTTGAGGGAAAAAAAATGGAAAAGAGAGGAAAGCTGGGATGTTATTAAGTAGGAATCTTCAGGAATGGTGAAAAACCTTTTCCTATTTTTTCTATTAGATTGGATGCAGTGGGCTAAATACATACATACAAGATGGGGAAATGATGGGGCTGAGGCAGAGCAGGATTTTTGGAAGGATTTTTTCCTTTATTTCCTGAGAGCATATCCTGTGCCAGTTCTCAGGTCATTTCCTCAAGGGTTATTCTCTTTCTTCTAATCTCACCCTCCCTATTTCCCTCTTGTTCCCTTATTGCTATCACTACCTTTTTTAACTCTAATGTGATGTATTTATTAGCAGAAGTACACCAAAGTAATTGTAGATGTCCCTGATATTAAAGGAAAATCATCTGCAAAATGTGGCTTAAACGAGCTGGAGCAATGGCACAGTGGGTAGGGCATTTTCTTTGCATGCGGCCGACCTGGGTACAATTCCCAGCATCCCATGTGGTCCCCCAAGCACCACCAGGAGTGATTCCTGAGTGCAGAGCCAGGAGTAACCCCTGAGCATCGGCTGGGTGTGACCCAAAAAGCAAAAAAAAAAAATGTGGTTTAAAGAACGAGCTTAAGCAAGATTAAGCCACACACAAAGTCAAAATTTATAACAGTTATTTTATGCACAAGCACACAAATATGGACAGATACAAAAATTTCGAATGAAATGAAATTACATTTTCAAATTCCTTGCCATGGGGTTCATTTCTTAACATATTATCTAATTCTGAATTTCACAAAGGAAAAACTGCTGGGAGCTATTAAGAAATGCAGTTCTACAATAGTAAGAGAAATCTAAACTCCGGGTGACTCACAGAAATTTTTCTCACAGAAAAATAAAATTTTTCTGATTTTGAATTCAAGATGTTACTTGGCAATACCAGTACTTCACTTAGGCATCTCATGAGGAACTGAAAGCAGGAATCACAAAGCTTCTGTCAGTGGTAACTTGCAGCTGCCTTTGAAAAGCAACCCCATACAACTGCAAATGAATTTGTTGCCTTAGAGGAATGCAAAGTGAGGTCACAAGCAGAGTCTTCAACTACTGATGGAAAAATCATTATTTTATCACCTCTCTTAATTAGTTATATGTCTGAAGTTTGAGAGACACACTTTAGGACTATAAGAACACAAACAGGAATAGAAGTCAACCTTTCTGAGCACTTACAAAGGGCTAAATAGTGAAGTAGGATATCCAGAGGATACAGATAGAAAGGCAACCTGGTCCTTACCCTCAGGGAACATTATCCTTTACTTCCTGCTTACTCTACATTTGCATTCTTTGTATAAGACAAACTCAAGGGTCTCTACCTTTATACAGACCTCCCTGAACATTCCTTTTCTTTGTGATCTAAGTGGATCAATCTATTCTGATCTAATCTGTCAGTACCCTTTACACTTTATTGTACTGGCTTGTTTACTTTGTTAATTCTACAAGAGGACTTATTCCTAAAGAGGTCTCTTAAACACAATGGTTATATTTTATCTCTTTAAAACTACAATATTTCAATCATAACTGATATAAATTTTCCCTCTTATAATCCAGGCTCTACAGTTCTCAAGCATACTTTATCCTTAATACATGCTTATTAAATAAAATAACAAAATCTAAAACCCAAGCTTGATTTCACATATTTCTGATTCCACTATTATCTTAACGTTCTAGCACTCTAAATTTAGTCTGTAGTAAATTAATTTGTGTGTATGTATATAACTATGTATGCACGTGTGCACACACACACATATATCTTAAATTGTTCCTTGGGTGCATTCACCCTCTCTAGATTAAAATCTAATTGAATGTATAGGCATATCAAGTAATGCAACTGTATTTTCCTACAGTTTTTATTAAAGGGCTCAGATACATTAAGCAGTTGATAATTAAGAGTCTAGGAATGCAATAATTTACTTCTAGTAGAGAATTTTAAGCATGAAATAAAGAGTTCACCATTCATCATGTTAATACTCTCCACACCCAAAATATTGGTAACCAATCCTGTCTCTGCAATATTTTATTCCAGCAACAAATGTGGTTAAGGTGATTTTTTATAGCACCCCATTAATTCTTACTGGAATTATTAAAACAATCACTTTTCTTATTTTCTGGATTTTAGTATCCCTTCTTTAAGTCATCATTGTTGCTATCAACTTATGTTTTCCATAAATGAAATCTCACTACCTGTGGTAGCTCACTAAATCCTTTCCCTCTTCTAAAAAACATGGGTCATATTTTCCAGCCTTCTTGGCAAATAGGTCTGAACATATGACTGATTCTAGAAAGATGTGTGAAGTACTACTTCCAAGTCTGCTTCATCAATGATCTTGCTTTTCCCCATAAGACATAGACAAAACAACTTTTAAAATCACACATTGAACAACCTGGAGCTACAGAATTGAAAAAAAGCATGGACTCTGAGCTAAATCTGAGGGAACTGCCTGCTAATTTGGAATTCTCTGAGTGCTTTAGGTGAATGGAAAATGTTATTATTTTGAGCCACTGAACATTATTTAGGCTACTTTGTAACAGAAGTTAACCTTTTCTCTTTAAACTCTTATGGCATGCACTCTGCACAAAATCCTTCACATATTGTCTCTAATGCCCCAGTAAAATCCCTTACTATAATAGATATAAATTAAATCCTTTATAGTCTAAATGAAAATCACTCTACTAGTCTCATTTTACTTTCAATCCTTAACTCTTACCCTTCAATGATTACATACTATACCCTGTTTCAACCACAATCAGTAACTTAGCATTGTCTGAAGAAAACTCCTGTACTCATTCTATTCCTTTTTTAAATGCATTCTAGTTCTTCTTCCCCATGCTCATATGATTTTATCTTTCAAAGTAAAATCCATGTCTCTGATTTCTTTGACAGAAGCCAACTACGTTTCCATTTGCGCTCCCATAAAACATTTAAAAAATTGACATCACATCATTGTCTATATTACTAAATTCATATATACCTTAACTATTCTTATGCCTATTATAAAATCTAAATTGTCTTCATCTCGAAGTAAGAGACTCCATTCTTGTGACAACCGGTAATCATCACAGAACTATACATGTAGTAGTCACTCAAGAAATGTAGCTTAGACCTTGAGCAGGGCAGCGCGGTGGTCAGAGCAGGGGCAGCTGGGCAGTGGGAGCGCAGACTGAAAAAAATACAGACCACCACGACGCTGCTCGTTACTCTGGCTCTGATCCGCTGTTTTACCAGGGGTCTAATTAGCCCCGTGTCTGCCTCCTTCCTGAACAGGCCTGAGATCCTATCTAAAGAGCCACAGCCTTCATATAGCAGCTCCCTGCTCCAGGTGGCCAGGCGGGAATTCCAGACCAGCGTGGTCTCTCCGGGCAAATTTATTGGTGCTGAGACCAAATTTATTGGTGCTGAGACCACCACAGTGTGTGTGGCTGGCTCAGGGGCTGGCATTGGGACCGTGTTTGGCAGCTTGATCATCCGTTATGCCAGGAACCCGTCTCTCAAGCAGCAGCTCTTCTCCTATGCCATCCTGGGCTTTGCCCTGTCTGAGGCCATGGGGCTCTTCTGTTTGATGGTCGCCTTCGTCATCCTCTTCACCATGTGAGGCTCCGTGGGGGGTGACCTACCCATCCCTGCTGCTTAGACTCCAGGCAACACCCAGTACTACAGTGTACTGAGCTTTACTGTTAAACACAATGTTTCTCAATAAATAAATAAATAAATAAATAAACAAGAAATGTAGCTTAAGCCTACTGGAAAGGTGATAGATAACAGGGTTCTTTGGGGCGGTAAAATGACACTGGAAATTTGGTAGTGGCTGTGGTGCATATAATACTCCTACAGATGTTTAAAGTTATAGTCCTGAAATTCTGCAGCATTGCAATGTCAAATCAATTACAAGAGTGGGTTGAATAAATATTTGTTAGTTTGACTGATTCTAACCATAAGATCTCATTGAATGATCATGCAACTTACTCTATGCAAGTACCCTGGCTGTGAGCATGTGCATGTGCTTGTGTGTGTGAGTTGTAGTAGCAATACCGAAAGAAATAGTATCAGGGAATTTATTTTAGATAATTCAAGATTTAAATTGACTTGGAAAGATATATTGTATATCTTGAATATTAAAAAAGCATATTGCTGAAAGAAATATAGTATAATCTTTTATGAAAAAATTATAAGGAAGAATGTTCAGTTATCAGTGAATAGAATGACTGAAGAGGGAGAACTTTTAAATGCACTTTATGTAATTTTTCAGTACTTGATTTAATAGATTATTTTATTATATGAAAATTGCCGAGCAAAGGAACAAGTCCATATTAAGTGTTATATACATTCTTGCTATTTTTATTATAATACTTTTACTAACAGTAAGCATGTGTTACATTAATTAAAATTGTTACAAGGATCAATTGGAGTTGTCCAATTAGTTAAGAGAAGATTATAGTTAAGTGAAGTTCTATTATATTCTTCCATCTTACGATGGATAAATTTAAAATTAAAAGACAAAGATCAATGACCTACAGCCTAAAAGAGTGAGCAAAAGGAAGCAAGTACTTGTATAAAATTAACACCTGAAAGAAGAAAAGGCATGCACTAAATTCCAGATTCTATTATTTTTAACCTTTGGGTAGAAAACTATCAACTGTATAATACTGCAAAAATCTAAACAGAAATCCCAGTATTTATCTCTGTCTTAAAGAGCCAGATGACTGGGTATAGACGATTACAGCTTCCAAAATGTAATGGGGGGATTTTAAAATGGGATAGAGGTCACTCCCCCACCCAGATTCTATGGTTAAATTCTACTCCAAACCTTTGGCTATCGTGGGTACCACATTCATAGGACAGATGCTAAAGAACTGAACTGAAATTTGAACTGTAAGTCAAGAGGAAAAGTCTGGTGACTGAGCTAAAACATTTAGCTATTTGATAAAGATTTAAAAAAAAAACAGGGGCCAGAGACACAGTAAACCAGATAAAGCCTTCACCACATATGGTACGCTAAGCAACACCATGAGTGGTAGATCTCTGACCTCAGAGCCAGGAAAAGCCCAGAGCAGTACCAGGTATGGCCCACTGCCATCTCCCCAACTCTCCCTCTCAGAAAAGAAAAGAAACAAGGATTTAAGTGAAAATAACAGAATTCAGTATCTACATGACCATCTTGGTATTCAAGATAGAATTCAAAAGTATTCAAAATATGACAGAAAAGGAAAAGAACAGGAAAAGAATTCTCAAGAGAAAACAGGATTATAAAGACATTCACCCCCAAGACAATATAGATGTTGAAATTAGCACAAAATTAGCTATCCTAGTGGTTCATGAATAGAAAGAAAATGTGTTCCAGTAAATGAGAATAAAGGAGATCTCAAATGAAAAATATAAAAGAAGACAAATGGAAGCTCTACAGTAAAAAATTAGAATACTTAAAATAATTGAAGAAATCCACACCCACTACATGCCCAATTTTCATCAGACTCTTCACATTTAAGTCAATTTTGGATTACATGCTTAGTTCACCTCCTCTCTCTGAAAACTGATCAAATCCATAGTGAGAAGGATCCTATGACACTTATTGGTTTTTTCTTTAATATTAGGAGAGGTAAAAAATTCTGATAGTGAACTCCTGATTCAAGTTTTGGTAATTAGATGATATTCCCTGGGATTTAAGAGCTGGAACTGAGTCTTTGTCAGTCTCAGGTGTTAAAATTGAGGTGTAACACCAGTTACCAAATAAAAATATGCAGTATGTTCCTTTACTGACATGTACAGAGGTAAACACACAGTGCTCATATCCAAAGAGAAGGAAATAAAAGTGCAGAAAGAAATATATGGAACAACTGAGACTGTGTAAATTATTGATTTTATTACAGTTATTGTTCCTTACCCTTATTTGACTTTATAGTGATCATATAACTTTGCGTTCTCAGGTATAACCTCATGGTCTCATGGTAAATTCAGATATCACACTGTTTGCTGTTTATGCTTCTGTTACCTGTAGTCAAAACACTGAATTTCATGCCTATATGCATTTCTAGCCTTTGGCCATTCATTTATTGAATAGGTGCTGACTTTGGCAGTAGTTCAAGTCTGAAAACTAAAGACCATCGAAACATGAAAACAAGACACTCTTCTTAATTTTAAAGCAAAAGGCCATGGTTTTTGAGGATAGCAAAAGGTTGAGTGACTATCTTGCAAGCAAGATGTGAGTAAGTAGTTTGATCTTTGACAAAAGTCCACATGCTGAGTATAATGCCTGAAAGACTGCAGTTATGAATATCTAGGGCCACAACAGAAAAGAATGTAAACTCTAGCACATCACACACTATTTATGATAACCATAACTAATATATGGATCACTACCAAATGCATCTGACCTCCAGCCATCACAACTGCAACTAAGAGAATAGTAATTTTATCAACATAATATTTAAATGCAAAGGAATAAAATTGAGTATAAAATTAGGAAAACCTAATGAATCATTTATTTATAGAAGGATCCCATTCTAACCAATAAGCTATAACTACATGGTCAAGTACTTCAGGTACAATTAGAATGGTAAAGTTAAGTAACAGTAATTTATCTGAGGAAAAAGTGTGCATTTAGAAATATCAGATACTGAAAAGAGAAATCATATAAAGAATGTATCAATTATCCATTATCCATACTACCTAGTTAAAGAAGTCATCTGATTCAGGAACCTAATATTCTGGTACTGGACAAGATCTGTCTAATACTGGAATATTCATAGGTTGATATTCCAATGAGTTCCTTTTAACTGCCATAAAAATTACTGTAAAGGAGTTTTCTGTTTATCATTTGATTTTCTACCTTGTTTTCCAAAAGGAAAGATATTGTGTGAACCACTGGCAATAATATTTTAACTGCTTCAGAAGTCATACTTTAAATGCATCCATTGATTTAATGGTTTTATACATTGATCTCTTATGAATATGGTCAAGGTAAAGCACATCAGTAGCAGTCAAATAATTCTAGATGTTGTAACAAACTAGAATAAAATACATACAGTGGAGCAAGAGAGTGCGTATATACACAAAATGCCCAACTTTGCAAACCTGTCTTTCTAGATAATGCTTTCACCTTATAATTCTCTCTAAAACATATTAAATTGGATGAAATTCAATCACAGGAAATATCACTCATAAACACAATACTTTGTTTAGCATTTTTACCCTAGTTTTCAATAGATCATTAAAATGGAATAACGTATGTTAACTCCATATTTTAAAACGTCTTATTCAAAAATTATTGTCCATGAACAATATTGTTTGAGCAATAGACTAATAAAGCATTGCATAAAAATTATATACACAGGTATATATGTGTTGGGGTATTTTCAGCTAAGGCTAAAACAATACTTTTTAGGAATGTTAAATATAAAGCAAAACACATATTTGGAATTAATAAAAAGAATTTCATTTTGTCAGTATATTCCAGGGCATACTTCTATATATACTGAGATCAACATAAATACATAACTAGTGCTGTATTAAATTATATTTTAGCTGCATGATTTAAAGTGCACTTATAATAAATACACCTGCAAATTAAAGAAATGTTTCTGTAGATTACCCCCTCTAGTACTTACTCATAATAATTTAGAATAATGTTATTGGAAAGGACTATATATAGCTTCAAAGGATATAGTGAAACATCAGTCAACACTTAAATTATATTCTAAAAATATTATGAAATTTCTAAGTAAAAAATACCTACAAATTAAACATTTTTAGAAATCAACAACATTCAAAAACACTGAAATATATTAACTTGTGCAAATATAATCTATATTAAAACTTAAATGGAAAAACTAATTCTATTCATATTAAATTTATGTCATATAAATTATATATGCATATAATAATTATTACCAAAAATGAACTGAAAGGGCAAGGAAAGGTCTAGAGAGGTAACATAGCAGGTGACCAACATGCCTTGCATGTAGTAGACCAGGTTAGATCCCCAGTATTCCACATGGTTCCCCAAGCTCCACCAAAGAGATCCCTGAATGTAGTCAGAGTTAAAGCCCTCCTCTACTGCCCCCTCCCCCGCAAAAATAGATATGTGATATTACTGTAGCTGCTTTAATATGTAATAAAATATTACTATAATTTAGTAACTTATTACCACTTTATTTAAACTTCTGCTGATATGCACAAAATCAGTTATTGCAGAAAACTTGCCATTCTCTTTTCTGGATAATTCAGAGATCAATCAGAAGGACAAAGCAAAGCAAAGAACAAGGCTTAACAACTTAATGGAAATATGTGATCTAGAAATTACTTTTTATTCTCTTAAATATAATGCAACTCCATTAGTGAAACACCATGAGGTACAGTTGTACACTTACAAACTTTCGTGCTTGGGTTTCAGTTATAGAAAAGAAAGAAGGAAGGAAGGAAGGAAGGAAGGAAGGAAGGAAGGAAGGAAGGAAGGAAGGAAAGAAGAAGAGGAAAGCACTGGGTTAGGAAATAGTTTCTATTTCTTCTTGAGTGTGTTTGGTAACTTGCTTTTCTAGGATTGTGATTCCCTGAGAAATTTTTACAAACACTAAATTGCATAGTATATCTGAGACCTAGTGAATCAGACGTTAAAGAGGAAAGGCTCAG